TTAAACCCAGGAGACGGAGGTTGCAGTGAGCTGAGATTGTGCCATTGCACTCCAGCCTGGGCAACAGACTGAGACTTCATCTCAATCAATCAATCAATCAATCAGACACTTTCAAATTCTGGTCAGTTCTGTGGAGAAACTGAACATCGAGTTTGACGAACTGCTCACTGGGGGGCACTCTCGCTTCAGATCACCTGGTGTGAGAACAGCCTGAAGAGGTGGTACATAAGCTGAGGCTGCAGTGACCAGGGCAGCAGGTCGTGCCAACGCCCCAAAATGGGAACAAACCAACCTGTTGTGTCTGAGGAACTGAAAGAATACTGCCATGAACGGAGGCAAAGAGGGAGGAAGAGGGGTTTGAGGTGACGTCAGAGGCAGGATCTTAAAGGTCTGCTCGGGAGAGCAGATTTTTCTTCTATGTCTTATAAGAAGCCACTGGGAAGGTTTCTGTTTGTTTGTTTAACAGTTTTATTGAGATATAATCCACACACCACGTGATTCACCCAATTAAAGCATATAATTCGACCTGGCACGGTGGCTCACGCCTGTAATCCCAGCACTTTGGGAGGCTGAGGCAAGCAGATCACCTGAGGTCAGAGGTTTGAGACCATCCTGGCCAACATGGCAAAATGCTGTCTCTACCAAAAATACAAAAATTAGCTGGGCGTGGTGGCGGGTGCCTGTAATTCCAGCTACTCGGGAGGCTGAGGCAGGAGAATCACTCGAACCCAGGAGGCGGAGGTTACAGTGAGTCAAGACTGCGCCACTGTATTCCAGCCTAGGCAACAAGAGCAAGACTCCATCAAAAAAAAAAAAAAAAAAAATCCATTATTCAATGGTTTTTAGTAAATTCATAGATATATGCAACTGTCCCCTCCCAACTCCCAGCCCTAGACAGCCACAAACCTACTTTCTGTCTCTATAGACTTCCTAGTTCCGAACTTGAATATGAAAGTAATCGTGGTTATTTTGTGTCCAGCTTCTTCCACTTAGCATAATGTCATCAAGGTCAATCCATATCATGGCATGCCACTGTGCTTCCTTCCTTTTAATGGCTGAATAATATTTCCGTTGTATAGACATGACACATCATTTCGTTTATCCATTTGTCAGGTGATGAACACTTGAGTTATTTCAGCCTTTTGATTATGATGAATAATGTTGCTAAAACATTCCTGTATGTGTTTTGTGTGGACATGTGTTTTCATTTTTCTTGGGCACCTAGGCACTGAACAGATTTATTTCCTTCTTCCTAACCCTCTCCCACTTTATTCTGAAGTTCGTATGAGCCAAAGCAAGGATTGGAAGAATTTTAGAAGTAACCTCCTGGAAGTCCATGAATTAGCAGCAGTGAGAGGCTAGAGGCCTAACAAAGAATTGGGAAGCAGCTGCTGTATCCCAAGCAGCAAATGTCAGTGTGGATGGGGAAGAGAGAGAATCATTCTGTGGCAGGAGAACTTGGCTGCTGACAATGAGACTGCACGCTTGGGATTTGTCCCTTGGATTCTGTGGCAGCCAAGCTCTAACCTCTGAAACACAAGAAAAAATGAGCAAGGTGATTTGTGCAGGCCACCTCTACATCTGAAGAAAGGAGTCATAGCAAATGATCCACCATTATCTAGTCCCAAAGTGGATTAATACAAACCACCCCAAGACCCTGGGGTACTCTAAGATTGGCCCCAGACAAGCCATGGGGATACAGCACAGAAAAACTGTCCATGGCCTATATCAAAGATGCAGCTAGAGACCAGGCATCGTGGGAGGTACACAAAGGGGAGGCCTTGTCTTGTCCGCAGGAAGCTGTGCTCACAGCTTGTCTCCCCAGACTTGCTAGAGAGGCCACATCCATCACAAAGGCTCAGACCTCACTTTTGGAGTGGCCACCATATGTTTTGGTTTTAGCTTTGCCTAGAAGCCTTGCAAATTGTTTAGTAAAGCCAGGCCAGAGCATATATCCAAATGCTACTGCATCGATCCCAAGCTACCTATTTGACTTTTTAGATGGCACAGAGGGTGGAGATATTATCACTCTACTAAGTGCCTCTTTATCAATGAGTCCCAGAAAGGAGCATGTGCCCACTTATCCCCATTTGCTGTGCTACATTAAATATCATTTATGGCCGGGTACAGTGGCTCGCGCCTGTAATCTCAACACTCTAGGAGGCCGAGGTAGGCTGATCACTTGAGACCAAGAGTTCAAGACAAGCCTGGGCAACATGGTGAAACCCCATCTCTACAAAAAATACAAAAATTAGTCGGGCATGGAGGTACATGCTTGTAGTGCCAGCTACTTGGGAGGCTGAGGTGTGAGGATCACTTGAGTCCAGGGGGTTGAGGCTATAGTAAGCTGTGATCATGCCACTGCACTCCAGCCTGGGCAACAAACTCTGTCTCAAAAAAATGTAAATAAAAAATTTTTTTAAATCGTTGATTTAAGGCTGGGTGTGGTGGCTTAAGCCTGTAATCCCAGAACTTTGAGAGGCTGAGGTGGGAGGATCGCTCGAGCCCAGGAGTTCAAGACCAGCCTGGGAAACATAGTGAGGTCCTGTCTCTATAAAAAAATAAAACATTACCCAGCCATAGAGGCATGTGCCTGTGGTCACAGTTTCTTGCAAGACTGAGGCAGGGGGATCACATGAGCCTAGGAGGTCACAGCTGCAGCAAGCCATAACTGTGTCACTGCACTCCAGTCTGGATGACAGAATGAGACCCTGTCTCAAAAAAAAAAAATGATTTATTATTGCCCTTGGATAGAATCTTTAAATTCACAGAAACACTTAGAACCCTGTAGAGGGAGAAGTGCTGAATTGCAAGTTGTCCAACAATGCTTCCTCTTTCTAGATGTTTGCTCAGCATCAATTCAGATACTACTGAATAGAAGGTAACACCCAACCACACAGCCAGAGGCCTCCTGGGGAAATGGGGGACTGCTGTCCCCTAACCCCTCTTTCTCCTGCCTTTACCCCTTGGCTTCACAGTGATTATTCATTTTTTAACACTCATATGCTGGGTGCCTGTTGCCTGTGTCAGGGGCACTCTGTCAGTCCCTACAAACAGGTAAAACTGATTAACTGAATCTTGCCCTCCACCGGCTTACCGTGCAACAGTAGAGACTGAAAGCAACAGACGAGGGTGAGCTTTGGAAGAGCTGATGAGGCCATGATTAATTTCAACTGAGAGGTAAGAGAGGAGGAAGGAAGGATGTAGATTTCAGCTGGGTCATAAAGGATGGGCAATATTTCAACAACAGAAAAGTGAGACGAGGGCATTCCAAAGCTCTGAAGGCTGTTTTAAAATACGACCTGAAAATTCTGTCGCTATCTTCTCACTGGGAGGTAGAATCCACTTCCCCTCCCCTTCATCCTGGGCCCAGCGACCTGCTTAACCAGGGTCAGTTTCCAAACCCAGGTCTTGAAGTGGCAGCTTCCTCTTCCTGACTCTTAGGATGCTCACTCTCAGAGCACAGCTTACAGAGGAGAGAAGACACCCCCAGTATCCATGAGAAGAGACCTCCAGGAGAAGCTTGTGCGGGTGTGCCGACCACCAGCCCCAGTAGAGGTCCCAGCCAACATCAACTCTGACTTCCAGCCATGTGAGTGAGCCGGCCCAGCTCCCTGGCTTCGTGCTACCCCAGCTGGTGCCACTGATACAGGAGGTAGAAAGAAATTATTTAGACAGATAGTGAGGGCAAAAGAGTCCTCGACAGAACTTCCCTTCTAACAAAAAACAGCTCAAGAAATTATTTTTTTCCTAACCAAGAATAGCCTGAAAAATCAAACCACAGACATAAACAAAGAAAACTAGAAAAACTAGAAACTTACACAGGGAAATGCCAACGACATCGATAGAAAAGACACTACCTGGGGGCCGGATGTGTCTACCATGGAAGTTCCATCTTCCCCTTCTTTGTTAACACGTGTACAGTAAAAAATAAATGGGTAACATGACACAACTCAGATTGAAAACCCACGTACATAATAAAATACTGGGGTGGGGGTTGCCAGAAATGTACGCCCTATACAAATGGCACACCTGGTCCTAATCAATTTTTCATGCCCTCTGTAGATCAGACACCGCCTCCCCCCCAACTCATCTATAAAACACCCCACATTTAACCACAGTTCAACAGCCCATTTTTCCGGGACCCTTCTCTATAACAGACAGCTATTCTCTCTCTTTCACCTATTAAACTTCCGCTCTTAACCTCATTCTTTGTGGGTCCATGTCTTTAATCTCCATGACCACGAGACAACGAACCACGGGTATTACCCCAGACAACGAGGCCACTTCATCATGCCAAGAACACGTCTGGACTTCAGTGTCTCCCTAGGTAAAGTGAGACTAGTCATGTCTAACTGCAGGGCTGCTATGAGGATTAAACGAAACACAACACGTGGTGGCCCCATCTAATAGAGGCAGACCAGCAAAGGCCGGCTTCTCAGATCACTGCAACAAGAGAGGGCGCCTCAGAGGACCCATGGGGCAACTCTAACCAAGCCAGCCAACAGGATTATACCACAGGGGCCTGGAGAAGGGAAGGATGTAAGTAAGATTTAAATAAAGCAGTGTTTTAATAGGCTCAAAGCAAAACACAACTGTGTATAAAGGAATTACGGTCAGACCTGGGCTACGAAGTGGATGGAGGTTCCTCTCTCCCTGGAAATGATGAAGTTAAGACAAATGTGCAATGTTGTGTCCAGAAAGCCCTGGCTTGGAAATCAAGGCAGCTTCTCAGTGTTAAGATGACTCAGGTCCTTCAGACAAAAGAAGGATGTGCCATTCTCACTCTATTTATCGCAAATAGCACAGTTTATAACAGTCTGTGCTTTTTCAGGAATAAGACTTTTCAGCACTATAACTTTTTGTTGATTAACAAAAGCAGTTTTAACAGGTTCACAGATGTAAATATGTGGAGCCTGGCATATGGTGAACATTCGGTAATAGTTTCCCCCATCCCCATCTCACTCATCTCCTCTTCTCTCTCACTTTCAGCCCCAGAGTCTTCTCCTGCCCACTCCCTATCAAAGAAAAGTCCCATAAGGTATCCATCAACCACCATGGTTAACGCACCCAGTAAGCAGAGGGAACCCCCACAGTAGAAGCCTCCCTCTGTTCACAATAGCCAAAAGGTGGAAACAATCCAAGTGTCCACTAACAGATGGAAGGATAAACAAAATGAGGTCTATCCATACGATGGAATGTGACTCAGCTTTAAGAAGGAAGGAAATTGACACATGCCACAGCGTGAATGGACCTTGAAGATGTTACAGTAAGTAAAATCAATCACTCACAAGAGGACAGTACTGTAGGATTCTAATTACATGAGACGTCTAGAGTAGTCAAATTTATATAGACAGAAAGTAGGATGACAGTTGCCAGGGGGCAGGGGAAGGGGGAATGAGGAGTTGGCATTTAATGGGGATAGAGTTTCAGTTTGGGGTGATAAAAAGCTCTGGAATGAAGATTGCACAATGATGTGAGTGCATTTAATGCCACTGAACTGTACACTTCAAAACGGTTAAAGGCCGGCTATGGTGGCTCATGCCTGTAATCCCAGCACTTTGGGAGGCTGAGGCAGGTGGATCACTTGAAGTCAGGAGTTCGAGACCAGCCTGACCAACATGGCAAAGCCCCGTCTCTACTAAAAAAAATACAAAATTAGCTAGGCATGGTGGCATAAGACTGTAATCCCAGCTACTTGAGAGGCTGAGGAAGGAGAATCGCTTGAACCCAGGAGGCAGAGGTTGCAGTGAGTCGTGATAGTGCAATTGCACTCCAGCCTGGGTGACAAGAGCAAAACTCCGTCTCAATAAATAAATAAATAAAATAAAATAAAATAAAATAAAATAAAATAAAATAAAATAAAATAAAATAAAAGGTTAAAGGAGTCGGGCACAGTGGCTCACTCCTGTAATCCCAACACTTTGAGAGGCTGAGGTGGGCGGATCACTTGAGGCCAGGAGTTTGAGACCAGCCTGGGCAACATAGCGAAACCCCATCTCTACAAAAAAAATACAAAAACTAGTGAGGCGTGTTGTGGCTTGCATCTGTAGTCCAGCTGCTTGAGAGGCTGAAGTGGGAAGATTGCTTGACACCAGGCGGTCGAGGCTGCAGTGAACCATGATCACACCACTGCACTCCAGCCTGGGTGACAGAGTGAGCCCTGTCTCAAAAATAAAATAAAATAAAATAAGTTAAAGTGGTAAATTTTATTTTATGTTATGTGTATTTTATCAGTATTTTTTAAAGGCTTCATCTGCCTATCCCCACTGAAAATAAGACTACTCTACCTGTGATCCAAACCTCAGAATGAACGAGAAAGTCCAAAGAGGAGCACGGTGTGTCTCCCGAGCACCTCTAGGAAGAGGTACATGTCCCCTGTCAGGTCTGCCCAGTTCCTTCTGTGGGTACGTTAGTCCAGATTCTTCACCCTCAGAACATTAGGGCCTGTATTAGTCAAAGTCAAGCGAAACTGCTGTGACAAGTTATTCCAAAATACAATGGCTTAAAACTATAGAATCCTCTCTCTATAGTAACAGCTGCGTGGTAAGCCATCCAGGTTGGAGGGTGGCACTGATCTTCCCAGTCATTCTAGATGTGGGTTCCTTCCCTGTCACTGCTCCAGTGTCCCCAAGGGCACTATGGGGGTCTGCATGGTAGAAGCTGGGGTGCCCCAAGTCTAGCAATTCTGCCTGGTGGAAGAGGAAACAGGACCTGGCTAAGTAGTTGGGATTATCACCTCAACTTCCATTCCATTGGCAAGGCCCTTGGGCGCCCACCAGGGGAGCCGTGCGGTGTAGTGTAGCAGGCAGTGTATACCTGGCTGCAGTTCTGTAACCGTGGAGGAATTCCCAGAATCGCAACTTTGATTTTGATTGCTTGCAGTCTCTTCCACAAGCCCTAAAACAAGAGTCACTTTCAACTCTGGTGCTTGGGGACAGTTCTTTGTTCCAACCCAGAAAGATGACCTGAATGACTAGAACTCAGAATAAGCACCTGGGAGTCCCTTAGAGTTAGACAGAGGGGGTTCCAGGCATAGTTCTACTGGCTGTGTCCTAACAGTGTCGCCATCAGCTGCCAAGGTGGGGCAAGTGACTTGCTGCTAATAACATAAAGTTCTCACGTCTGCAAACCACTTACTCTTTTAGCTAAATTAGAGAGTAATCAAAGTTAGCCTTTTAATAACATCACTTTCACTCATGAAAAACCACACAAGCTTCCTGAGCGGAAGAAAAAGGGAGAGTGATCCTAGCGGGCTGGAGCAGCCAACGGTGCGTGTGTGTGCATCGGCAAAGAATGGCAAGGGTGAAGGATTGCAATAGTCAAAGAAGTCTCACAGGAGGCAGCAGGTTTTAGGGGAGAGAGCTTGAATGTAGGCATCAACGAACTTGGGTTCTGGCTTTTGACATGTCATTAACTAAGTTGAATGAGGACATTCCTTGAAAGCCTATACTGTGCCAAGCACATGCCCAGTGTGGGTCTTGGGCAGGTCACATGACATCTCTCCCTTGCCTGTCGCCTCCACCCTCTGCCCCCAACAAAACAGAAGGCTGAATTCATGTCCTCTGAGACTTTCTTCAGCTCTGCTACAACCTGATTCTATGAAGTAGAAGCTCACCCTCTGATCTTGGGAAGCAAAATAACTGTGGATAAAAGGAAGGCTGTACCAAGAAAAAAATCCCAGTTACATATGTGGTCTTCCTGGCAAAAGGGCATGACTTCAGTCCAATCACAAGAGAATTTCAGATAAACCCAAAGGAAAAATGTTATATTTTTTAAAGTGGGGAGGTGGGATTGTGTGCTTCTAAAGTGTCAATGCCAAAGAACAAACAAAAAAAGGCACAAAAAGGGCATGAAAATGTTCCAAATGAACAGAGGTTGAAGAGACAAGATAATTTAACCCAACACCTGACTCTAGGCTGGAGCCTGTGAAAAAGAGAGGAAAATGGTGTTTTGAAAAAAAAAAAAAAAAAAAAAAGGACACAGGCCAGGCACATGGCTCACGCCTGTAATCCCAGCACTTTGGGAGGTCGAGGCAGGTGGATCACCTGAGGCTGGGAGTTCGAGACCAGCCTGCCCAACATGATGAAACCACTCTCTACTAAAATAATTTTTTAAATTAGCCAGGCACGGTGGTGGGTGCCTGTAATCCCAGCTACTTGAGAGGTCGAGGCAGCAGAATTGCTGGAACCCAGGAGGCAAAGGTTGCAGTGAGCCCAGATTGCATCACTGCACTCTAGCCTGGGCAACAAGAGTGAAACTCCGTCTCAAAAAAACAACAACGAAAAAAGACAAATACAATTTCTCTTATATGAAGTACTTAAATTAGCCAAATTCATGAAGAAAGTTGAATACAGGTGACCAAGGGCAGGGGACAACAGGGAAGGGGGAGTTACTGCTTAATGGGTACAGAGTTTCCGTTTAACATGACAAAAAAGGTCTAGAGATGATTAGTGGTGATGGTTCTACAACATTGTGAATGTATTTAATGCCACTCAATTGTACATTTAAAAATGGATGCTGACCAGGCGCAGTAGCTCATGCCTGTAATCTCAGCACCTTGAGAGGCCGAGGCAGGCAGATCACATGAGGTCAGGAGTTCAAAACCAGCCTGGCCAATATGGTGAAACCCCGTCTCTACTAAAAATACAAAATTAGCTGGGCATTGGTGATGTGCACCGGTACTCCCAGCTACTTGGGAGGCTGAGGCAGGAGAATTGCTTGAGCCCAGGAGGTGGAGGTTGCAGTAAGCCGAGATTGCACCACTGCACTCCAGCCTGGGCAACAGAGCAAGACGGTCTCAAAAACAAACAAACAAAAAAAGGGTGTTACAGCTTGTTTAGAATTTGTCTAGCAGATTTTCCAGCTTTTACTGGAAGCCCCCTCACCCCACAAAATAGGTGAAATGGCAAATTGCATGTATATTTTACCATAGTGAAGAAACGAAAAAAGAAGTTATTCAGCCGGGCGCGGTGGCTCATGCCTGTAATCCCAGCACTTTGGGAGGCCGAGGCGGGCAGATCACGAGGTCAGTAGACAGAGACCATCCTGGCTAACATGGTGAAACCCTGTCTCTACTAAAAATAAAAAAAATCCGCTGGGTGTGGTGGCATGCACCTGTAGTCCCAGCTACTCGGGAGGGCAAGACAGGAGAATCGCTTGAACCCGGGAGGCGGAGGTTGCAGTGAGCTGAGATGGCGCCACTGCACTCCAGCTTGGGTGACAGAGTGAGACTCAGTCTCAAAAATTAAAAAAAGAAAGAAAAAGAAGTTATTCCTCTGGGCTCCACTCCACTGTACCAGGGGCTTCTCCTTGCATAATGTGCCTCTCTGTTGGCCATGTGCTCCCTGGGGCCAGTGATTGTGCCTGACACAGTTTATCATATAATTAGGTTGTTAATGTGCATTTGGTTTTAATGAAAAAAGAAATGAGCAACACCCCCTGGCGCATTTCCGGAAGCTTGTGCATTTCCAGAAGCCTGTGCATTTCCGGAAGCCTGTGCATTTCCAGAAGCCTGTGCATTTCCGGAAGCCTGTGCATTTCCAGAAGCCTGTGCATGTACAGTGGGCTTCACAGGGGCGTGTGCCTCGTGCAGCTGCGTATTCAGCCCATGTTCCAGAGCAGCCAGTGACCTGGGATATTTAGCAGGGAGTTATGATCTGGCCTCTGTTTTCTCCACGAGGATCAGCCCTGAGGCCAACTGAGACAGAGACCACACAGCACACGAGGGCACTGGCAGTGTGGGCCACCAAGCGGGATTGCTGCCTGAACACAGCAGGCCTGGAGAGGCTGCGATCAGCTCACAACCCTGAGAAAACACTCGATCGTGAGTGCATTATGGAAGCTGTGACGTCTGTGGCCCATGGGGACAAAGTTAAGTCACTGTCTTAACCTGAAGATAAATGAAGGGGCCCTCTTCGGGTAAGAGAATTAAATTCCTCCAGGGAAGAAAAGAATGACTTTCCGGGCTGAGAGGAAAAGGACTTCGCTGTAATCCAGTCAGCAACAGCAGCAAATTTAAGGGGGGAAGATGTGCCAAGTGCGGGAAATGGGTCAGAAAAATAAACTCAGCG